ATATATCGTTTTTAGAGCGGCGGAGTTATGTCGCTTCAAAACGACATAATCTCGCCATGATCAGCGGCGGAGTTATGTCGTTTTCAAACGTCATAATTTCGCCAGAAAGCATACAAATTCAAAGAGGTATAATATTTGAAAATCAGACTTTATTTGCCCGAGATATTAAAAAAAAATCATCAAAAAAGGTTTGATTTTCGAACCGAACCCGATTTTGATAAAAATCGTGATGTAACCCCTTGCCATTTTGGTCGATTTGGGTCAATATTTAGATTATCTATTTTTTGATGCCAGTCGATAGTACTGATCCTTACGAGTCCAAAATGGTATAAAATTTGAAGATCGGACACTATTTGGCCGAGATATTCAAAAAAATCGTCAAAAAAGGTTTGATTTTTGAACCGACCCCGATTTTGATAAAAAGCGTGATGTAACCCCTTGCCATTTTGGTCGATTTGGGTCAATATTTAGATTATCTATTTTTTGATGCCAGTCGATAGTACTGATCCTTACGAGTCCAGAATTCAAGTTATGTCGTTTTCAAACGTCATTTCTTCCGCGGATATACATATGTCGTTTTTAGAGCGCAGAGATATATCGTTTTTAGAGCGGCGGAGTTATGTCGCTTCAAAACGACTTAATCTCGCCATGATCAGCGGCGGAGTTATGTCGTTTTCAAACGTCATAATTTCGCCAGAAAGCATACAAATTCAAAAAGGTATAATATTTGAAAATAAGACTTTATTTGCCCGAGATATTCAAAAAAAAATCATCAAAAAAGGTTTGATTTTCGAACCGAACCCGATTTTGATAAAAATCGTGATGTAACCCCTTGCCATTTTGGTCGATTTGGGTCAAAATTTAGATTTTCTATTTTTTGATGCCAGTCGATAGTACTGATCCTTACGAGTCCAAAATTGGAGTTATGTCGTTTTCAAACGTCATATCTTCCGCAGATATATGTCGTTTTTAGAGCGCGGAGATATATCGTTTTTAGAGCGGCGGAGTTATGTCGCTTCAAAACGACATAATCTCGCCATGATCAGCGGCGGAGTTATGTCGTTTTCAAACGTCATAATTTCGCCAGAAAGCATACAAATTCAAAGAGGTATAATATTTGAAAATCAGACTTTATTTGCCCGAGATATTAAAAAAAAATCATCAAAAAAGGTTTGATTTTCGAACCGAACCCGATTTTGATAAAAATCGTGATGTAACCCCTTGCCATTTTGGTCGATTTGGGTCAATATTTAGATTATCTATTTTTTGATGCCAGTCGATAGTACTGATCCTTACGAGTCCAAAATGGTATAAAATTTGAAGATCGGACACTATTTGGCCGAGATATTCAAAAAAATCGTCAAAAAAGGTTTGATTTTTGAACCGACCCCGATTTTGATAAAAAGCGTGATGTAACCCCTTGCCATTTTGGTCGATTTGGGTCAATATTTAGATTATCTATTTTTTGATGCCAGTCGATAGTACTGATCCTTACGAGTCCAGAATTCAAGTTATGTCGTTTTCAAACGTCATTTCTTCCGCGGATATACATATGTCGTTTTTAGAGCGCAGAGATATATCGTTTTTAGAGCGGCGGAGTTATGTCGCTTCAAAACGACTTAATCTCGCCATGATCATCGGCGGAGTTATGTCGTTTTCAAACGTCATAATTTCGCCAGAAAGCATACAAATTCAAAAAGGTATAATATTTGAAAATAAGACTTTATTTGCCCGAGATATTCAAAAAAAGATCATCAAAAAAGGTTTGATTTTCGAACCGAACCCGATTTTGATAAAAATCGTGATGTAACCCCTTGCCATTTTGGTCGATTTGGGTCAAAATTTAGATTTTCTATTTTTTGATGCCAGTCGATAGTACTGATCCTTACGAGTCCAAAATGGTATAAAATTTGAAGATCGGACACTATTTGGCCGAGATATTCAAAAAAATCGTCAAAAAAGGTTTGATTTTTGAACCGACCCCGATTGTGATAAAAAGCGTGATGTAACCCCTTGCCATTTTGGTCGATTTGGGTCAATATTTAGATTTTCTATTTTTTGATGCCAGTCGATAGTACTGATCCTTACGAGTCCAGAATTCAAGTTGAAAATCAGACTTTATTTGCCCGAGATATTAAAAAAAAAATCATCAAAAAAGGTTTGATTTTCGAACCGAACCCGATTTTGATAAAAATCGTGATGTAACCCCTTGCCATTTTGGTCGATTTGGGTCAAAATTTTGATTTTCTATTTTTTGATGCCAGTCGATAGTACTGATCCTTACGAGTCCAGAATTCAAGTTATGTCGTTTTCAAACGTCATTTCTTCCGCGGATATACATATGTCGTTTTTAGAGCGCGGAGATATATCGTTTTTAGAGCGGCGGAGTTATGTCGCTTCAAAACGACTTAATCTCGCCATGATCAGCGGCGGAGTTATGTCGTTTTCAAACGTCATAATTTCGCCAGAAAGCATACAAATTCAAAAAGGTATAATATTTGAAAATCAGACTTTATTTGCCCGAGATATTCAAAAAAAAAAATCATCAAAAAAGGTTTGATTTTTGAACCGTATCCAAGAAGCACAGGGAAATAGTTAATGCCGAGAGTGGTCAAGATATGTTGATAAACAAAAAAGGTTTTCAATCAAAAACCTAGTTTTCGACTGTGCTATAAGATATAGTGTACCGATCTTAATGGGATTTTGCATATATATGAGGAGCTTAGTAAAACTAATAATTGCCGAGTTTGGTCAAGATATTTTGTTAAACAAAATGTTTTTTCATACATAAACATAATTCCTATGGCAGCTATATGATATAGTAGTGCGATCTTAATAGGATTTTGCACATATATGAGAAGCTTAGTAAAACTAATAAATGCCGAGATTGGTCAAGTTATCTTGATAAATAAAATGTTTTTTCATACAAAAACTTAATTTTCGACTGATCGTTCCTATGGCAGCTATATGATATAGTGGTCCGATCTTAAAAGGATTTTGCATATATATGAGGAGCTTAGTCAAACTAATAAATGCCGAAGTTGGTCAAGATATCTTGATAAACAAAATGTAGTGGTCCGATCCAGCTGGTTTTGACATACATATGTGATGCGTGCAACAGAAAGAGGGACTTCTGCAAAGAGAGACTACCTCGAATGAGAGACTACCTCGCATAGAAACAGACAGACGGACAGATGGACATGGCTAGATCGACTCGGCTATTAATGCTGATCAAGAATATATAAACTTTATGGGGTCGGAGATGCTTCCTTCAGCCTGTTACATACATTTGCATTTTGCACAAATAAAAAATTGAAATTTTAGATGTAGATGCTTCTAGTTCCCGCGCAGATCGAGTTTGTTTCCGATAATCGATAACTTACTCTGTTCCCAACCAATTGACAAAAATCGATATCGATATTCTGTTTTTTGGGCAATTTTGGTAAATAATAAGAGCTAGAGTCCCCAAACTTGACATATAGCTTCTAAAATAGAATATATATATATATATATATATATATATATATATATATATATATATATATATATATATATATATATATATATATATATATATATATATGTATATATAAAATGTTATATGATTCTTTATTATTGTATATGTAACAACTATTTTTAATTCTTTTTTTAATTGATAATTTTTAATTATAATTGTTGTTTTTATTTTATTGTTTTCTATTTCTAGATTTTATTTAGATTATTTGCCTTACTTAAATACTTCGTTTTCAGGAATTTACTGTGTAGTTGATATAGTTTAAAAACAGATTTGAGCACATAATTACAACGATTATTATTAAAAGTATGTTAATTAATCCTAAATCAACGTTACTTGACTATACTTTATTTTTTACACTTGCAGTGGGGTCCACAGCCTTTGTTTTTGTTAAGCCCATTTTGTGTATGTTTTGTTTATTTTCTAGGAATCGTATGCCACGTTTAAATGGCTTATTCTCAGTTATAAAATCTGTCTTACTCATTCTATTATCCTGTTACATCAAAAAATCAATTTATATTTATCTTATTATTTTAAAATTCGTCAAAATAAATTTTGTTTTTGCATATTTCTACATTTTGTTTCGCTTAGCTTTATAGGATATCCTTCTAATTGGGCAAAAATGGTTCCGCTCAATTTTACAATAAGTTGATGTATATAAAGTATATGTTTATAAATATCTTTTGCATCTGCTGCTCAACCGCTGCATCAGCTGGGCGTCGCCGGAGTGACACGCTGATGTACCTCGATGACGCAAGTGGCGGTGTGGGCTCAGTCGGGACAGGTGCCGGTCATCGCACTGGTCTCAGTTAACATGCAAGTTGATTTACACGCTCCACTGTAGAGCGGTACAGGGCAGTCACTAGGGCAGACATCAGGCCTCTTTGGCAGTTGCTTTGACGATAGATGTTTTATTAATAATTTCGCATTAACATTTTTTATCTTAGCTGAGTGACCAGCGGGGTTGGGGATCTTATGCTCTAGACTTGACTTGAGATAATCAAGCTCGGCTTGTAACTTCTGGACTGTTGCCCACACGGGAGGTGGTGTATTTGCATATAACAGCCCCTTTATGTGTGATATTCTTTTCTTGATTTTCCTCTTTACACCTCCGCGTCTTCCCATCACTCGTACTCTACGTCCAGTTGTCCATCCAGGCCGTATACCACAATATATTATGCTAGAAGATAACACACATGTCAAGCTTTGTGGCTCTAGCTCTTATTAAAAACCCAATTTCAATATCGCAATTTTGAATGGATTCAGGGTATAAAAAACAAACATATGTGTTGAACGACATATATCTAACTAATTAATTTGATTACAGCACAACCTTATTGACATTAGGTGCGACATGATAAACCAACATGATTAATTATTGTTGTGTATTTGGCACGTTTTATATAATTCATATTCGAGTGTATAAAAACCCACAGCCTGTAATGCACAATAACCAATTTGAAATTGATTCGAATAATCAACGCGAACATCCAAAAGATGTGGTCCCCACCAAAGTTTGTGTACAAGGTGTTGATTTTGGTTTTATTAGCAAGGCAATCGAGTGCCATAAAATATAAATTCAGTCTTGAAAATGAGGATATATTCACCAATTGTCCCAATAAACCAAGTAACGTACTCAATGTAAGTGGACTGTTCGATACCTCTGACTCAACATTTAAAACGGATTTTGTGTCGGTACGCTTTTCGGGCAATCTCACCTGCGTGTGGAATATTCAACCTGGTGATCGCATTCAGGTTATAATCTTTAACATTGTTTGAGTGAATACAAAACAGCCTATGATAAAATTAAAATGAAACATCACAATTATTTTTATTAATTTCAGTTGACTTTTGAAATAAAACGTTTCGATCGTGGATCCTGGCAGCCAACAGTATTCAATATGCATGTCCGTGACTTCTGTGCATCTCTCTATGAAAAAGAACAGTACTGGTACAAGTTTTGGTCAAAGTACATTATCAATAAGGAACAAGTTAGAGAGAAATGTATTCTGCCTGGAGTAAGTTCTATGTAATCTTGTAATATTATCTACTTATAAACAGCATTCTCTTTCAGACTAAATTTATTCACGAACCGTTTGATGTAGATTTACTGTTCGAGGCACAAGGATTACCTTTGATTGGACCACACAAGCTTGTCTTTACATTTAAGGCCTTTGACACTCACGGAGTCGAGCGAGAAACTAGCATCTGTTTCGAAATGTTAGGGGAATTTCAGAGGCTGTAGATATGCCGAGAAATATATGTAAACAAGCGGGTATAGCCTGGCCTTGCCCGTCGCATGTGTAAAATAAATATTCTCAAAAACCTTTAAAAATTATTTTGACCCTGATCGGAGGGTAAACGAAAAACTTTCATACATTTCCAAAGTCGCTGAAACAGGTATTCATTCAGTTCTTATATTGAGCATTGAAAATAAGTTTGAAGCAAACCGGACAAAACTTAAAACTTCAACAAAAAATCTTTGAATTGCACTTACCGAGAAAGCTTTGATTTTGCCAAAAATGTGAAACATGTCTCAAATTATTATACCCTGAACCCATTAAAAATGGGTATAAGGGTATATTGTATTTGTGCGAAATCTAAATGTATGTAATAGGTAGAAGGAAGCATCTCCGACCCCATAAAGTATATATATTCTTGATCACCATCTATAGCCGAGTCGATCTAGTCATGTCCGTCTGTCTGTCCGTCCGTCCGTCAGTCCGTCCGTCAGTCCGTCCGTCCGTTCGTCCGTCCGTATGTATGAACGCAAGGATCTCAGAACCTATAAGAGCTAGAGACTGAAATTTTAGTGGTAGGTGCTCCTAGTTCCCGCGCAGATCGAGTTTGTTTCCGATAATCGATAACTTACTCCGTTTCCAAGCAATCGATAAAAATCTATATCGATATTCTGTTTTTTGGGTAATTTTGGTAAATAATAAGAGCTAGAGTCACCAAACTTGACATATAGCTTCTAAAATAGAATATATATATATGCATTTGATGTTGGAAAAAGAGGGTTCAGGGTATCCCCTAGTCGGGAGCTCCCGACTAGAACCTCTTAATTGTTTCAGCTTGTTTTCTGCCTGCTTCCTTTTGCGCACAATATGTTCGCGCCATATCAGCCGTCTGTCGAGTGTGATGCCTAGATATTTGGAAGTTGTGCTCACCGGAATCTGTATTCCATCTAGGAAAACTAGAAGACAGTTCCCTTTATGCAGCGTGAAGGCAGCCAGCTGTCCAGGCAGTCCAATTGACGCTGCATAATGGAGGATGCATACTGGAACACGTATGAATAAAGTTTTTATGTAGATCTTTGAGAATACGTTTGAAGAAAATTGGACACAACTTAAAATTTTACCCAAAAAATCTTTGAACCGCATTTCTACCGAAGAAGTTTGGATTCTGCGAAAAGTGTGATATAATTTGTCATATAGATATTTGTATTTGTATTTGTTGGAAATCTTTGACCTCCATTTTGCCCCATTGAATAATAAACAGAAAGAGATGAAATGACACTCGGAGCTTTTTTTACCGTTGTAAAATTTATGAGGCATGGATAGGGTTGGTCCGCAAACGCAAAATCAAAGCCAAACAAGTAAGAGGTTATAGTCGGGAGCTCTGAACCGTCTTATTAATCAAGTAAGAGGTTCTAGTCGGATGCTCCCGACTAGGGGATACCCTGAACCCTCTTCTTCCAACATCAAATGCATATATAAAAAAATAAGAGAAATAATGGAGGAAGGTCGCGAGACAATTTGAAATGATAGACGCATTATTATAAAAAAGAGATAGTGAACACTAGTTAGATCTATATATTCCGGAGTGCATGCAAGAGCAATTAATCAGAATAGCACAAGTTAGGAAATCTAGCGGCAGACAAGTATATCAATGACCTAAAACGAATATATTGGTTCCCGTCAATGCATTGTAAAGTAGCACAATTGATTATAAATTGTTTGCCGTGCATATTATACTCTATGCCCAAAACCATACATAATAGTTTACCGAAGTCAGAAATACCCTTTCATACGTTACATATAGATCATATAGGCCCTTTACAGAGTATCACATGAAAAGGAAAACATATTTTGGTAATCGTAGATGCCAAACTCGTACTGCGCGGGCACTAGGAGGACCAACTGTCGCGGCACTTGTAGGTTCAGAGATCCTTGCGTTCATGCATACGGACAGACGGCCATGGCTGGATCGACTCGGCTATTGATTGATCAAGAATATATATATTTTATTTGGTCGCAGATGCTAACTTCGGTCTGTTACATACATTTTCACAAATACTTAATACCCTTTTTATCCATTTTTAGTAGATTCTGGGAATAAAAAAAACAATCATATATTGAACGATATATATCTGGCAGCACGTTATAATTAATTTGATATCAGGACAATCTTTTTGAGATTAGGTGCGATCTAACAAACATGTTTAATAATTGTTGTGCATTTGACACGTGTTATATAATTCATATTCTAGTGTATAAAAACCCACAGCCCGTAATGCACAATAACCAATTTGAAATTGATTCGAATAATCAACGCGAACACCCAAAAGATGTGGTCCCCACCAAAGCTTGTGTACCAGATGTTGATTTTGATTTTATTCAAAAGGCAATCGAGTGCTATAAAACATAAATTCATTCCTGAAAATGAGGATATATTCACCGATTGTCCCAACAAACCAAGTAATGTACACAATTTTAATGGACTTTTCGATACCTCTGAGTCAACGTTTACAACGGATTTTGTGTCGGTACGCTTTACGGGAAATTTTACCTGCGTCTGGAATATTCATCCTGGTGATCGCATTCAGGTTATAACCTTCGACATTGAGTGAATTCAAATCACTCCACGATAAAATTAAAATGGATTCAAACATCACAATCATTTTTATTAATTTTAGGGGACTTTTGAAATAAAACGTTTCGATCGTGGATCCTGGCAGCCAACAGTATTCAATATGCATGTCCGTGACATCTGCCCTACTCTCTATGAAAAAGAACAATACTGGTACAAGTATTGGTTAAAATACGTAATCAATAAGGAACAAGTTAGAGAGAAATGTTTTCTGCCTGGAGTAAGTTCTATATTAGCAATATTAGCTACTAGTAATATTATCAACTTATAATCAACATGTCATTTTTTTCCAGACTAAACTTATTTACAAACCGTTTGATATAAATTTTCAGTTTGAGGCACAAGGATTACCCATAACTGGACCACACAAGCTTGTCTTTACATTTAAGGCTTTTGACACTAACGAAATAGAGCGAGAAACTAGCATCTGTTTCGAAATTTTAGGGGAATTTCAGAGGCTGTAGATATGCCGATCGGCTGTAGCCCGTCCATGCCCGTGCAACGCATAAAGTTAATCTTCTCAAAAAGCTTTAAAAATGATTGATCGGACGGTAAAAAAAACTTTCATACAACTGTTTTCCGTCAATTTACTACTGTTTCGGGTGGAATTTGCCAACACGCTGAAACACGTTTTCAGTAAGTTTTTATGTAGAGCTTTGAAAATAAGTTTTAAATAACTTTTTATATAGATATTTGGAAATGAATTTGACCTACATTTTCCCCAGGTGTTCAGGGTATAAAAAAGAAATTCATGCTTCACAAATTTGCTATTATACCCTTGACCCGTTTAAAATGGGTAAAAATGCAGAAGGAAGCATCTACGATCCATACAATGGACCAATGTAGTTCAGCGTATCATATCCCTAGTCGAGCACTCATTTTGTTTTTTTATTATTTTGTTTGAAAAATTAAGATTCAATCTCTGTATATAAAACTAAAACGCTTGAGTGCTATTCTTTTTTTATCATCCGATCGGCGGGTTCTCAAATACATTTTTATTCAAATTCATTTGAGGGGTGTTCAACACATTTCGAAAAGTCCATGCCTCCTTGGTGAAAAAGGGGTCAAAGATTTGGTGGGTGACGTTTCGCGCTCAAATTCATATCCAAGGATCTATATGAAAAATCATTTGAGACGTGTTTTACATATCAAAGTATATTTCACAAAATTAAAGATTCCTCGGTTTTAAGCTTTGTCCGATTTGCACACTTTCAAAGCTTTACATAAAAATTTAAGAATACCTCTTCTAGCTATTTTGGAAATTCCGTCCGTGACAGTGGCAAATTTCGAAAAACCTTTGTTTACCGTACGATCAGTGTCAAAACCATTTTGGAGAAAATTTATTTTATACGTAAAGCGGGCAAAGCCGGGCTATACTCGCTAATTTTAAATAATTCTTTTGAATTGAGCCGATTTATAAAGTCGTTTAATTAATCCGAAGAGATGCCAATAAAATGAGGTATAAACGCAAATTGTTAATGTTTTTATTATTAAAAAAACAAGTAAGAGGTTCTAGTCGGGAGTTCCCGACTAGGGAATACCCTGAACCCTCTTATTCCAACACCAAATGCAGGTTGCGCAACGCTCTCGTTTGAAGTAATAAAGATAAATTTCCAAAAAAGAAACAGGGTTCGAACTCGCAACTGACCGCATTACTTGCTGACGACTCTACTCATAAGCCACACCAGCCAAAAAAAATAACATTTTTCCCGGTAGGGCTCGAACTCGCGACAGACCGAAAACTTGCTATGCCTCTATTCAACCGCTACACCAAAAAATGGGTATTATTGAAAAAAAAAACAAAATATATAAGAGCAGCACAGAAAACAATATAAATTGCAGTATTGTCGATAGAATTTGAACCAGACGTGCATGAAAGTGTGTGTGTACATGTATACAGAAATTCTTGGAATTTGCGCTAGCTGCCCCATGCAACTTCGCAGTAAAACACAACTTGGTTTTTTGTTAACCGATCTTAAGGAAATTGTCTACAGTATATCTTATTGTACCATAGAATATTTGTGTATTCTCAAAAAATCAATTGCATTTAAATTGTGTCTTATATTGGTGGGCAGCATAAGCTGGCTTATTAACTTGATTTATATCTAGGTGGTAGTAGCGGGGAGGTAGTGATAACTTTAAAATGATAGATACTTGATACTAGTCTAGAAGCAACATATCATGTTTGGTGACTCTAGCTCTTATTATTTACCCAATTTGCTCAAAAACCAGGATATCGATATCGTTTTTTATCGATTGCTTGGAAACGGAGTAAGTTATCGATTATTGGAAACAATCTCATATAGGTTCTGAGATCCTTGCGTTCATACATACGGACAGATGCACAGCCGGACATGACTAGATCGCCTCGGCTATTGATACAATATACCCTTTAACCCAATTTTAACGCGTTCAGGGTATAAAGAACAGTTTCCCCGGTAGGGCTCGAAGTCGCGACAGATGCTATGCCTCTACTTAACAGCCACACCAATTATTAAGTATTATCGAAAAAAACCAACTAAAATGCTGATAGAATGCGAAGCAGACACACATGAATGTGTGTGGGTACATGCATACAGAAATTCTTGAATTTTCGCTAGCTGAAGCAACATATCAAGTTTGGTGACTCTAGCTATTAATACTAACCAAAATTGCTAAAAAAAAAACGGAAGGACGGACAGACAGACGGACATGGCTAGATCGACTCGGCTATTGGTGCTAATCAAGAATATATATACTTTATGGGGTCGGAGATGCTTTCTTCTGCCTGTTACATACATTTGCATTTTGCACTATATTCCATTTTTTACCCATTTTTAATGGGTTCAGGGTATAAAAATAAACGTCAGGTTAGATTAGTTAGGGAGTGGCATAACTGACATCAACCTGATCAGGATTGTATTTAGCGGAGAAGCTCTTTTTACATTCGTCATTCGCTGAGACATCTTTATACTGCAGGTAATTTCAAATTCTTAACTATTTGCCAAACGATTTCGAATGAAACATTCCACAGTCCGCGAGCAAAATCAATCAAGCTATCTGACACCGAGAGATAACAATGTACACAAATCCATCAAACTCTACAAAGTTAATTAGCAATCGAAGATAAACTATGCAAATCGTATGCAGTCGCCAAAAATTGGCAACAGTACAGGCCAATTCAATTAATAAATATGCAGAAAGATGAAAATTTTTTTTTAAAAAAGCTGCTTATATTTTTTCTTTTTTTGTGTTCAATATTAATTAATTTACTTAATTACAGACCTTTGATGAAGCCAGTTGCCGGCCCGCAGAATTGGCAGCGAATTGAGATGGCGATAGATCAGGCTGACCTCACATCAAACTGGTTAACTTGTGCCAAAATTAATTTTTGACGGGTTCATTTGCGCGAAGGGGCAAGAGTGGACGAAGAGCAGTATGAGAGGGGAGTTACAATAGATTTAAAAATCAGCAAAATGAACAACCGACATTTTAAATTGCTAGGAAGAGTAAGAAAATGAAAGAACGGCTGTCTTCGGCACGCCGAATAGTAAACACCCTTCGGGACACATGGCGTACGGTCAGGCGTACATGGGAGAAGTTGTCAAGTTTGGATCTTGTCCAAAACCTTGTCCAAAAATCTTTAAAACCATAACTCACTTTCGAATAGTTTGACAAACAAGAGCCTAATATTCAAACGAACATTTTTACTACAGACCTTTTATGGCAAAAGATTACAAATTTATGCAGAGTTGCATAGCGATAACTCGAAAGATCAGAGACTAAACTAAAATAGACTTGAGACAGTTGGACTGACGGACGGACTATATATCTATATATACTTCCTGGCGTCGGCTATGTTACCTTCTATGCGTTACACACTTGCTAACAAAGTTTTAATAGCCTCCAGAAAGGTGTTAAACAGTAAATAAAATGATTGACTGCATAGCAGTTGAGTAGATGTAAGAAGGAGGTTAGGAGGAGGTAAGGGAGCTATTAAAAATTTTGGTAGATAGTCATACTTGTATTCTGTTTTAGATATGTTCGCTGTCACATGAAGATTCGGTTTCTAGTCAAACCGGTTTAAAATGATTTGCAACAAAATCAACTTTCATAATAAAATAGTGTGTGTATATTGACATATAAGTAGTTGATTCTTGGTTGTTAGCAGATTTGACATCATTCGTTTGGTTTTTCTTTTTTTTTTTTTAGCAAGCCTACTTTTTTACCACTTTTTCTTTAAAAAATAGAAGCGGACGTTGGAAATTTCAAATGTTTCACTTAGATTTTGAGAACGATTCAAATCGCATCACAAATTTATTTCATTTTGTAACTAACAAATATAAATAGAAACAATTTTGCTCGTATATTATTGAAAATTTGGTAAAAAAAGAAGAGAAAACAAAATGCTTACCGCTTGTCCCGAGGAGCTGCCCAATCCGCACAAGAATTGCCTGCGGGAGATGCTAAACACGATGATTTGCAACGATCAGGATGTGAAGCGTTTGAATACACAATTGAGAAATCTGCAGCTGGAACTCAAGGAGGAGCTAAGAAAAATTGAGAAGGCCAATGAGAAGTGTGGCGAGGCACAGCCGAAGTTAGGCATGAAACGTTTATGCGACCCAGACGAGGACCTATCGGAGTTCACAAAGCGAATCATCAATCTGGACGAAGTGAAGCACTTCTACTCTAAGCGCTCTGAGGAAATCCGTAAGCGACGGGACAGTATCATCATGTATGGCAGGCAGTGCCTGCAGGCCTACAATGAGGAGAAGTGCAAATTTAAGTCCTTCCATGAGAACACTGTGGACTATATTAAGCGCACGGCAACCTTGTCTCAGGATCAGGCGGTTATAACACGCTGCGAACGCGACATTTGCGAGATGCACAAGAGATTCGTCAGGGAGGTGGCCAATCTGAAACACTGCGAGGAGCAATTGCAGCCATTCTTCAAGCTGTTGAAAGATTCTGATCCGAACGTCTATTGCGAGTGCTGTTGCTTAAAGGACTACGAATGGATGCCCCAGGGCAAAAACATGGAAGCCGTCGATGCCACCGGCAAAGAATTTAAGGAGAAGATGGGCAAGACCTTGGTCGGCGCCTTCGCCCAGCTGCATCTGCACATGCCGCAGGATATGTATGGGTTTATAGCCGGCTATCTTATGAATGTGGAACGCAATGAGCACGAGGTCAAGGAGAAACTCGATCTATTTCAGGACCATGAAGTTGTCGAAACCAAGGAATTGCCGGATCCGACGTATCGTTGTGACACCGAATGTCCTAAGAAATAATTTCTCATTTCAATTTCAATTAAAATTAATTTGTTAAAAGCGGATATATATAATCGAATTCAATTGAATTGATATTGACCGAAAGCTGGTAAATAGCTTAAAAAAGTGTACATACATTAGTTCAATTTATATAAGTCAGATGATCCGTCTGCACAATTTTTCTTTTGGCTGGAAGAATAAAGTTGGTAGTTAGGGAATCTGGTCCAGGTGTCTGGCAAGCGAAAGGTTATCATACAAATGGTCAGCTACATAAATATGTTAGTCAGTTTACGTAAACTTGCAGATATATCAAATTTATCTAGAATCATTTCATTATATATTTCGCTGTATATTAAGCTGTATGAACTTTTTCATCACTTCTACGGAAAACTTTATTTTCATAATTAATTTTTAATTAATACAAACTCGCACATTTAGATAATATGGATGCTTATTTAACTATATGAATATATATATAATTATGCTTTAGCATTTTGTTTCACTAAGGAAATCACATGTAGAGTTGTTGTTGCTGCATTCTCAGATCATAGCTGGGCATCACTTCACTTTGGGATTGGTATTGGAATTTGAATATATACGCATTAGTTTTAGCAAACATTGCAACTTAAATTCGAATATATTGAGATGTGCACTAAAATACCAGGGCCATTTTATTTTGATATTTTCGAACCAATCTGCATATATATTAAAACTAAAACCATACCTAATTCTATTTCTTACGACGATTGCCTCGCCGCGAACTGGTTTCCGGCTCCTTGTCAGTGACGCCGGTGATGGAGGCGCCCGATAGCTCTGTGTTGGCCATTTTCTGTTGGGTATCCAGAAAGAACATGACATCACGCAGCTGTTCCTTGAGATCTGTCACCTCCTTGTCGTGATTGTGCTTGAATTCGTTGTACTGCAATTCAAGAGTTTTGTATTTGAGATGCCAGGATGTTTGGTTGTTCTGCAGAGCCTTGGAGAGTTCGCGCTCCTCGGTTAGCTGCTTCTGCACCTCCTTAAGCCTAAATGCAGGAAGTTAAGGGAACATTGAGTTTGCCGAGAGGTATTTGTTGGCTCCACACTTACTTTGTTGCATGGTGCGCCAGTTTGCGTTCCAGCGTCTGTTTCTCCTTTTGCATGCTTTGTTGCAGCTGATGCAGCTCACTAATTTCGGACTTGGCCTCGTTGGCATTCGCTTGGAAGTTCTGCCACTCCTGTTCCAGACGTTCCATGCGCTCCTCATAGTACTTACGCTGCGTGTCGAGCTGTGAGGTCAGCAAATAAGTGAACTCCATTTGCATAGAGTCGATTTTCTCCTCGCGCTCGTCCTTCTCTGTTTGCGAGGCAACGAGCTTGCCATCGGATTTGTTTTGGAACAGGCGATGCACAAAATTGTCTCCGGCATAATCCCACACGCTAGATGTGCCCAGCTGCATGGCAAAAGTGTGATTAGTGGCACGGTAGTGAGCTGCCGCATGACCGCCCTGATATCGACCGCAACCCACATGACCACAGATTAAACAAATCCACAGCGAATCGGTGCCCTCGCACTCCATGCACACCGAATCCTCGACTAGCTCAGGCGTTTGCACATGTCGACATACCGGACAGGTTGAATCGCCCCATTTCATCAAACAGCTGGCATGAAAAGCATGATTGCAGAGAATCGTTAAGACGCCATCGACACTTTCGTCCATGCGCTCCAGGCACACGGGACATGTGGGCAGCTCTGTGTGCCCCAGGGGCGGCAAGCCATGCTCGCCACGCTCTACCTCCGACACCCAGACAGCATGGCAGAGCGAATCCGGCTCCAGTGAGTTGTAGGCTATACCATTGTAGGATTTATAGAACTCCAAAGCGGATTCGTTTGAGCGAAATCTGTGGCCGAAAACTGGTTAACAATCGTATAACGACTTGAACTGCATATGGCACTTACTCCAGCAACACCATAAACTGATTGGGACTTCCATCGCGCACGATGCGCACATGCCGGATCTCGGCATGACAAGGTGCTATAAAGTTGAGCAAGTCGTGGCAGTTGAGTGTGGCCGGCACGGCCAGAAGGCACAGCTGATTCGAGGGCGCCTCCTTTATGGCCTTGCGCTCGCTGCAAGCGGAAAATAAATCGTATTTTGCTGTACGTTCCACTTGTGATACTCACTTTTTCTTGTACAGATGTATAATGCCTTTGGTCACCTCGACAATGGGATTGCCGGAAAAGTAGCCAATTTCCTGTGGAAAGCTCGAGGCCGTCTGCACGCCAGTACCCTGCGTCACCTCATCCCCACCGCGTGGCGTTGTCTCACGGGAGCTGCCCGCCGTTGGACTATTTGTGTGCTGCTGCTGCAGAGCGGCGGCCCAGTTCATCTTACTGGTCTCGTTCTCGGTGCTCAGTTCGCGTGTCCAACGTTGATTTGTGTACGTCTCGATGATTATGTCGCGTGCCTGGCGCAGACCACGATCTCGTTCGCGCTCCTTTTGCACGCGCGGATTGGTTGGGTGTTCGGCAGAGACAGCGCCTTCTTGTTCTGCGTAAATATGAAAACGCAAAATTTCTTTGTCTGTTTGTCGTTCGCTGATGGGAGAGTTCATTTACCTTCGCTGGCTTCCAAATCGATTTCGATTCTGATGACACACAAGGAAATATTTTCTAGCATTACACAGGCATAATTTAAATCAGGGCGATATGCCAAAAATCATATTATTTCTTTGAATTCAAAGAATTTAACAATTTTCATTACTGAATACGCACTAGAAAAACTAAACATGCAACATATGAACAGGAAACTACCAAAAAATACCTAAAATACCAAAAATACTAGTTTTTATCGAAAAGCATTATCGAATAAATAGGTAGCAAGCCGCAATATTTACCAACACTTGAAAACGTAACAACTAACGTACCAGTTTTTAAATCCATTTGATTTTGAAATTGTTTTTCCCCAGAACAGGAATATAATAAACATTTCGATTTACGAGATACAACTCAATAAGTGATTACTTTGTTTTCGCATTTATTATATTTTTATATTATTTATATTATATTATTCGTCGGCGATAATTCTAAACAATAAAACATAAAACTAGTTTGTTTTTATGCCTTTAAACTATGTGTGCTTCGATACAACTATGTTGGTCAACGGCTCCAATTCTTTTTTCACTCTTTTGTTCCCTTTCTCTCTCCCTCTGTCCGCTTTATTACCATGCTACGATAAAGTTTTGCTTTCAATGCCGTCGTTCGGCTCGGCTCAACTAGCTTCGGCTTCAGTTGGCCAAAACACAGTACGTAAGTGCATACGTCAAGTTAGTACGTAATCGTCGCTACTGCGAGTTGGACGTGCTGTCGCAAAAGAAGCACAACTGACTGAGCACAAAAAACACGTTAAAAATTTCGTCATCTCGTCTCACTCCTACGCGCGCCTTCAAACAAAAACAAAACAAACTAAAGTGAGTGCAATAACGGACTGCTGTGTTGCTGTAAATTTTATAGTTGTTGTTTCTAGTTGTTTGAAATTGTTGTTATTGTTGTTGTTGTTTGTAATTGTTGCTGTTTGTAATTGGGGAGATGGCTGTTGCCACACCACGCTCGCTGCGCATAGAAAACAACAAATTAATTGCAACAAACATGTAATTGGAATTTCTAAGCTGAACCACAAAATATGCGATTGTGGTACATTTAATATTGGCGGCAATTGGCCAGAAATCATTCATATTGATTTTTGTCCATTATATATTAAAGCCAAAAATGAAGAAATGAAGCAAAACAAAAAAAAACACAAAATTTTGTAACAAAAACAACAAAAATGTGGCTCAGTTCAGGCCTTGGTTCGTTGGTCCGTTACTTGCATATGTAGTACACAAACACGCACACATGCTAGCAAGCGGGCGCCAGCACGCACACACGGACACAACCACACACAAACACTTACACACACACACACACACTACGACAGACGGCGTTCGCTTTGGCTGTAACTGACAGCTGCCAAGTGCCAGAGCTTGTCGTCAACAAGTCTATCAAAAGTACGTTTGTCATTTCTGTTGCAATGCACCCCCACCCGCGCCAGGTGGCTGTCTCCTCTCTCCTGTGTGTGTGTGTGTGTGTGTGTGTGTGTGTGTGAAGTGTCCTTGTATTTGTCAATTTTGGGTTTGTTTAACTACTAACTATGTATATACTTATTGTTCTTGTTGTGCCGCCATTCTGCATTCTCACGCTCCCTCCTCTCCCCGCCGCCCGCGATGCACTCCAAGTGCAGTCACAATTTCATTTGCATTTGTCGGCTGTGCAAATACGCGGGTCACAGAGAAAATCAATTAAATGTGTCTATAAAAAGAGCCAAATATAATAAGTATTTAACAAAGTAAGTGCCAAAGTTGAGATATCCTGGCGTAGTGCAGCATATTTAATTGTTTTTATTTATTTTACGTTTTAGTTTTGGGATTTTTCAATACTGAATCTTTATGTTGTTGTCATTTTTGAGCACTTAAAAATTAATCTCAAAATATATTGAACTCACAGCAAAGTTGAAAAAAAGTGTTAAAGTAAATGACTTTAAGATAAAAAATAAAAAACCTGAACTTTTACAAAGTTTCGTAGGTGTTTTTTCTATTTGGCATATGCAGTTACAATAATTGTTAACTGTTATAATAATATAAATAATTAATCAAAACAATTTGAAGAACCTCTTAGCTATATAATCAAAAAACTTGTTTTATTTATAGTATTAAATTAACAACATTTCAAATTAAAGAAACGTGTGAGCAGAAAAATTGCAATTATGTAGTCAATTAGCATTATTACTCATTATTATATTTTTGATTATTAACAATGTTATTTTGTACAACCTGAAGCTTACAGGGAAAGTCGTCTGCAGAAGTCAATTCGATTTGGGTCAATAGGTTTTATAGTCACGTCCGCCAATTTCAAAATTATGACTGAGAAAACGCGCACTGTTCAATGTGCTGGAAAAAATAATTTATATGGAAAATCTTTGCTGAATGTATACAAAATGTTTGCTTTAGATTAAAAACATAAATTCATTTAAATACGTTGAATGAATAGTTACGCAGATTGATGATATCCAATTATATTAAGAGTAATTAATATTTATTGATAACAACCAAAAAAAAGAAACGTACTTTTTTTTAAGTACTTTTGTACTCTTTCAGCATACAGTTTTGGCGAAGTAAAGCTCGTTATTGCTGGGTTTCCTGAAGTTATCTTAAAAAACAGCCAATTACCGCATGCCAAAAGTCATTGTTCATAAAAAGACAATATAAGCACTAAGTTAAGTAACGCCCATACATTTGAATGCGACGCAAAATTTCTAGTTAGGCTTTTCATCTGGCTTTTCGCACTTCTAACGTCAAGGCAGCCGACTAGCTGAAGAAACAGGAAGTTTTTACTGCAAGAACAATAATTATTCGATCGCTCTTAAAACAGAGAAACTAGTTTTATTCTGATTCTGATTAAGAGTATATGTTCTTTACTTTTTTTTTACACACTCTTAAACCATATAAAGCATATTAACATCTAAACATCTTCGAGATCGAAGGGTCTTCAGTTAGAGGACGCACTTGTTTCTATTGACTAGGTTGTTGTGAGTGCTAAATATTAAATAATCTTAGATAAAATAAAAAACTAACTATAATATGTCAGCGCGTAAGCACTCCACTTATATTTATTGATGCCTCTTTATATTTACCCTGCTGAGCCCGAATGCTTAAAACACTTTCATTTCGAGTGCGGGCCATAAAAATAAATGATATGCATTTAGCTACACGCAGGCATTTGCCTTAACTCCAAATTGATGTAAAGTTCTTCATTTGTTTTCGCTTTGGGCTTTACATATTGTAGTAGATTTGTAGATTTATTCAAAACTGCTGCGTATGCCCGATGAAATACCGCACTGACTTCTGTGAGCGGCGCGCTGTTTGTTGTTTTATTCAAATTGAGTTGTTGTTTATTCATGCATTTTGTTGCACTTCTGCACGCTCCATTGTTAGACAAACACACACACACACACACTAACGTTTACTTTGCATGTGTGTGTGTGTGTGCATACACTTGCAGTTACATTCATTCATTCATAAAGGTCTGCAGCTGCCGTGCCCTGCACAAGGCTTGACTTGCCCGTACGGCGGCCTGACATTTCCATGTCGGCTGTCAGAGCTCAAGTATCTGTTAAGTTTAAATGCCGGCCCAAACATACACGGATATACACACAGACAAACATAGGCAAATGTGTGTGTTTGTGTGAAAGGCCATAAGAGCTGTTGTTATTGTGTTAGCCCCAAGTGCGCACTTTTACTTTTTCAACGCTTTTAGAGGGTATTCATATTTTGTCACAAAATGTGTAAGGCTTAGAAACGGAGCTCGTCGACCCCATAAGGTATGTATATATACTCTTGATCTGTGCGATGTAGTAATTCGTCTGATTCTTTCTTTCATGAAACTTTTTACAGATCTATATTTTTATTATCCTCTCATGAATATTCAATTCTTACAAAACATACAGCATATTGTTAGAGCTAGACTCTATCGTCGTCAGACAACTATATCATATAGTTCTCTAGGAAAAATCGGTCCAAAAATTAACTTTTTCTACGGAAAAATGCTTTGTTTTCTCATAATATCTTGAACCCAAGCAACTACGAACTTCTCTCTTATACTTAAACAATTTAAAGCTATTTTAAATCGAAGCACAAAGTATGGCTGCTATATGATCAATCGGTGGAAAATAGGGCCTGCGTACAAAATCATTGCTAGGCCATGTGTCTACAAAGGGTATTTAAAGTTCGGCGTGCCGAAGATAATTATTAGTTCTTGTTTTTCTCTGGCGTTGCGAACAACAAAAACTGGCAAAACGACAATCATGACCAGGTTTTTGAGTTTTTAAGTCTCAGCCTCAGTTTGTTGTTGGTTCGACCGTAAATCATGTATGCGCTGTTCGGGCCAAATGATTCAATTGCCATGATTGCAACAGAGTGAGACGGCACAAAGAAAGCCAGCGAGTGGCAGCCTGGGGGAAAGAGAGGGGGAGAACCGGTTGCGCTGTGGTCTTTTGTGGCCGCATTGCACATACGGTCAAGTAACATAATCAAAGTGTAAACTGCAGCTGTGAGGACCTGTTGAGGGGGCGGGTGTGGCGGCCGCAACGGGACAAATTGTAATTGCAACACACGTCAATTAATTGCTTTATCTGCGGGCGCATGATAATGTGTTTCTGATTGCCTTCGGCAATTGGCCACAATACGGCAGACAAAAAGCCTGTGATCGATATTAATCATACGCCTAATTGTTCAATCATATGCCCAGCATGTTACGCATACGCCGCATTGCATGCATTGTGCGGCAATCTAAAAGAAATTATCAGAGATAAACAGAAATCCTGTAAGATTAATGGCTTTAGCCTTTCAATGTCCTACCTAATGTTCACATAAATTCGAGTGAAAAGTTAGCAAAAAGAAAACCAAGCACATCTTAATCAATTTACATTATAAATAAACAACTAATTAATGTTAAGCACTATATCGACTTTATCACATGCCAAAATGATTGATTTGTGCCTAAGGAAACATAGACCAGAACTTGTCCAAAAGTATCTGCCAAATTAATTGCATTTGAACAACTTGGTGGATGTCATCTTTTGGTTAAAATGTTCTCTAAAAATTACACAAATGGATGTTTTTCTTGTCTTGTCAAATTAAAGAAAATACAAAATGCGATTTCATAAAGAAAATTATCTTACTCTTTGAAAAACCAACGTATTAACTCGAAAAGTTGTTCCTTAGTGTTTATCGCTTCTTCTAAATCAAAATTTATGTTTTTCTTTGCGCACGAAGTCTAGAGATTGAACTCCTGTGAAGGCAGAATATGTTTTAATTTTGTTATCAACTAATATTGAAATTTTTATTTGAGCACTAAGTTTAAAGATCGAACCTTTGTGAAGACAGAATATATTATTTTTTTTCAATAAAAACTAAAGCTTTTTCCCTGAGCACGAAGACAGAATATGTTATATGTTATACCCTTGCAGAGGGTATTATAATTTTGTCGTGAAATGTGTATCGCATAGAAGGGGACATCTCCGACCCCATAAAGTATATATATTCTTGATCAGCATCAATAGCCGAGTCGATCTAGCCATTTCCGTCTGTCTGTCCGTCCGTCCGTCCGTATGTATGAACGCAAGGATCTCAGAACCTATAAGAGCTAGAGACTTGAAATTTTAGATGTAGATGCTCCTAGCTCCCGCGCCGATCGAGTTTGTTTCCGATAATCGATAACTTACTCCGTTTCCAAGCAGTCGATAAAAATCTATATCGATATCCTGTTTTTTGGGCAATTTTGGTAAATAATAAGAGCTAGAGTCACCAAACTAGACATATAGCTTCTAAAATAGAATATATATATGTATTTGATGTTGGAAGAAGAGGGTTCAGGG